GGGCCTTTCGCGGCCGCATTGGAGCCCTCTTGGGGTCCTCTTGGTCCGTTTTCGCGGCCTGTTGGACCGTCTGCGGGGCCTGTTTGGGCCGTTTCGGGGCCGTTTTGGGGCATCTTTTTTTTAGGGGGGTGTTGTTCTTGGGAGATTCTGGAAGCTGCTTGGGCCGTCATGGATTTTCGACAGTCGAAAAAGGCGAGAACGCTAACATATTGCAAACATCGTGGGGAAATCAATGATTTCGGCATCTGCAGGCGCAGTGGTGGGCGCTCTTGGGGCCCTTTTTGGGCCGTCCTTGAGTTTTTTGGGGCCCTCTTGGGGCCTTTTTGGGGGGCCTCATGGGCTCCCATTGGGAATATATTGGGCCGTGTTGGGGCCGTCTTGGGCCGTCTACGGGCCATCTTGGGCCAGCTTGAGGCCCTCTTGGAGTCCCCAGAGGCCCAAGAGGGAGAATTTGCTGATTTTTCACCGTTTGTTCGTAGGTTTGGGGGCCCAAAACGGGGGGCCGCCAGTTTGGTACGGCGCTGTGGCGCGACTCCACGGGGGGGTTGGGGGGAGACATAATATTGCAAAACGATACGACATGTAGCAATTATGCAATGATTAGATACATTGGACGCGTTGCATTACAGCATCCGCGGACCTGCCTCCGGCAACACGTCACTTCCGGACGTGGATTCTTAGGCTTACGCCACACCGCCGACCCCTTGTTTATGCCAATCTGGGGGTAGTAGAAGCTGCGAAGGGGTGATAAGGCGAGTGATATTTGTTTGGTGTCTGTTCGCCGCCACCGCCAGAGGGTCTCGGGCAGTTCCGCGGGGGGGTCCGAGCGGACGGCGACACCGCGAGTTTTGGAGCCACTTGGGGGCCGTTTCGGAGCCTCTGGGGTGCTTCTTGGGGGTTCCTTTGGGCGTCTGGGCGGCCTCGTGAGGGCCTCTGGGGGCCTCTTGGGGCACTCTTGGGGCCCCCTGGGGCTCCTGGGGGCAGAAAGCTAGAGTTACAACATGTTTGGTCGCCCTCTTGGGCCCCTCGTGGTGCCGTCTTGGAGCCCTCTTGGGCCGTCTTGGGGACCTCTTGGGCCGTGTTGGGGCCGTCTTGGGCCGTCTGTAGGCCGTCTTGGGGGCCTCTTGGGCCATCTTGGGGCTGTCTTTGGGGCCTCTTTGGCCGTCTTGGAGCGTCGGGAAGCCGAAAAGGCGGAAAAGCAAAAAACATCGAAAAACATTATGGAAAATCAACAATTTTAGACTCTTGGGGCCCTCTTGGGAGGCTTGTTTGGGACCTCGGGGGCCGTCTTTGAGACCTCTTGGCCCGTCTTGGGGCCATCTTGGGCGTCTTGGAGCGGTCGTTTGGCGTCTCGGGGCCTTCGTGGGCCGTCTTGGAGGCCTCTTGGGGGCTTCTTGGCCCGTCTTGAGGCCCTCTTGGGCCCGGAAAAGCCCCGTGAACCGCTCGTCCCGGCCGTGCTGCGCTCGTGCCGGACCACCCCCCCCTCCAAATCGACCGGACCGGGCTCCCGTGGGAGGGTTTGGGGAGGGGGACGCATCTCACGACGCCCGATGGGGCCCAAGGGTTCGGCGGATTTTCGTCCGTTCGTCGTGTCGTTTCGTCCCCTCGCCCCCCCCCTCCCCACGGCTTCCCAGGGTAGCCCCCCTGGGCCAACAGCGCCCCCGCAGACCAACCACACGGAACCCTTTATTTTCGTCGTTCGTCGTGTCGTTCGTCCCTCTCGCCCCCCCCGTCCCCCTCGCCCCCCCCCCTGTCCACGCTTCCCAGGGTACCCCTCGCCCCCCCCCCTGTCCACGCTTCCCAGGGTAGCCCCCCTGGGCCACGGAACCCTTTATTTTCGTCGTTCGTCGTGTCGTTCGTCCCCCTCGCCCCCCTCCCGCCCCCCTCGCCCCCCCCCCCTGTCCACGCTTCCCAAACGTTCCCCATAAGGGGGCTCCCCACGTTGTCATACCAGAAACTAGGGTAACCCATCGCCCCCCCCCTGTCTCGCTTCCCAGGGTGGGCGGATCCAGAGCTCGGATCCTTTCAATTTTCGTCGTCGTCCGTGTCGTTTTCGTCCCCCTCGCCCCCCCCCCTGTCCACGCTTCCCAGGGTAGCCTAGCCCCCCTGGGCCACGGAACCCTTTATTTTCGTCGTTCGTCTGTTCGTTCGTACGGGGGCTCCAGGAGAGCCCCCCCTCGCCCCCCCCCCTGTCCACTGCTTCCCAGGGTACCCCTCGCCCCCCCTCCCCGTCCACGCTTCCGCAGGAGCTGTCTCGAGGGCCACGGAACCCTTTATTTTCGTCGTTCGTCGTGTCGTTCGTCCTCCTCGCCCCCCCCCCTGTCCACGCTTCCCAGGGTAGCCCCCCTGGGCCACGGAACCCTTTATTTAATCGCTTCGCTCATGCCGCCGGCCCTGGAGCCCTCTTTAGGGCATCTTGGGGGCCTCTTGGGGACCTCTTGGGAGTCTCTTGGGGCTCCTTGGCGGCGTTTTGGAGGCCCCCAGGGCCTCTTGGGGGGCT